GGAAATAATAAATGATAATCAAATAACTAGGATAATGAAACATGGTGAAAAGAAAACTAAACACTAGAAATCAAGGAGTAAGGAAAGACAGAATACTCAAAAGAAAAACATAACAGAAACAGAAACCTAACAATTTTTAGGTAAACAGTAGAGAGCTGGCTGTAAAAGAAAAAATAGTCACACAGTCTGATGTTACATAATTCAAAAGTTTAACAAATTCAATTTGAGTTTAATAAATGCCAGTGAAAATGTTTGAAAATATACTTTAATGTAAAACAAGCGAAAAAAAAAAGATGCATGTGTAACTAGAGCTTCTGCAAAGTGAAATATAGAACCAGTATTAGAGTAGTAGGGTACGGCGTGTCGGAGGCTCGCTGCTGTTTTTGACTAAGCTGTCTCAGTGAGGAGCTCAAGGCGTCTATGATGAAAGTTAGACATTTAACTGAAAAGAGCTTTACTGATGAACAGAGATGTAAATAAAAATAAGACAAAGCTGTCTGAAAAGAAGAGTTGAGATGAGGGTTTAAAGATTTTTTCTTTAGTTTGAGAGGAAGTTAATGAAAGGAAATAAAACTCTAAGGACTCCTTTATTACTGTTTAACTTCTGTGTTAAATATGAATCTCCTCATGTCTTGATGGCAGAGTATGTACTGAAATCTGAACTTTGGATCGTCCTCTTCCTCTTCGTCCTCTGTGATGGCGGATGGATTTCCAGGGCAGCGTAACAAACATTTTCATCCTAGGAATTAATATTCAGAATTATCATTATTTCAAAAAGTTTAACACAGAGATAATTTCTATAAAACAAAAACAAATAACTGTTCTGTTGTTTGTTACCTGAGCTCCTTCAGTTTGTCTTGAAATGTCACATCTCTTATTTTCAGCTTCATTGTTTGCTGCAGGTATAAAAAAATATTCAATATAACTGAATAAAAAGGTTTGTTTCACATTTCTTAATGTCAAAAATCATCTTCAGCACCTTTCTTCAGGCAAAGCAGGTAGACCAGCAGTGAGGAGAGGAGAGCTGAGAGCAGAGAAACAGCAGGACAGACAGAGAACAGCAGCTTCCAGCACGAACCGCACTTCTCCACTGGCCTGGAAATGTCTAAAATGAGACAC